TTTGTCTCGCGCACACACAGAGTTGTCCGAAAACTTTTAGCAGCCGCTCTCTAGCTCTTCCTGTGCCTCACCCTCCTAGCTCCCTCCGTCTCTCTCTCTGTCTGTCTCTCTGTCCCCTCTGTCCCTCTCCTGGACCAGTGGAAAATGTGACTGAAGGACAGGAGAGTAGGTGGTTGTCCGGCTCCAGACACCATGAGTGAGTACAGTGGTCTTTCCTAAACTTTACGGACATTCTCAGCAGAGTTTTGCTCAGTACATATCACCCCTATGTTTGTCTGTGTGTTTCTGTTGTCATAAAAATTGTTTCTTGCTCGCTTGTAGTTGTGCAGTCTTTGTAATTTAAAGAACAGAATGACGTAATGTTCTTTGAGTGCATGACTGAAGATTTTCCACAAGTTGCATTACTCCACTGTAGTGGTCACCAGGAGGCGGCCATGTTGAACTTCAGTGTCAGAACGTCTTCTTTATATTAAGCAACTTCAGTGCTCTCATCCAGGTGGTTCAGCAATGTGACACCAGTACCATGTGGCCAGTTGGAAACCAGTTCACATGCTTGTAATGTGTGGGTTCACTGCTCTTCTGTTACCTAACTCCACATTACTGAATGTGCTGTGTTGGTAGTTAGGTGCTTCGTATTGTAGTGTAGTAGCAGGACACTACTGCTGTAGTTGATCTTGAATTTCAAAAGTTTTCTGGGGGTTTTTCCCCCAGACTTCACCATGATTCTGTCAGCTGCACTCATCCCGATGTGTTTATTGCTTTGACTAACGGTGTGACAGCAGATTATTCCAGCGTCTGATCCAACCAATGTCATCCTGTTCCTGGTGCTTTTATTTTCTTTTCATCTGGTCTATATTTACAGTTGAAGAGTGACCTGGAACTTCAAATCCTCATGATCCTATCCAAGCAATAGTTGATTGTGATAGACTGAACATCGCCAGCTGTTTGTGCTGAGTTTATTTTGAAGTTTCTAACTCTGTGTTACATTAAGTTCCTTGTCTAAGTGATCGACTGGTGCAGGTTTCCCAACAATAAGAAGTTTCTATTCTCAATTATAGGATGTCTTTTCTACAGTTTTCAGCAAGAACGCAAAATATACATAAGCGGAATTTAGTTAAATTGTTTATTTTTATAATTCCTATAATCAGTGGACTTAATGTTAAAAATTTTGTTCTGAAAAAACATTTACATTTAGCTAGAAATACCTGGAAATCAACCAAATTGCTGTCATAGTTTCCAAGTACCTCTACATGAAACATCCATAGATTTGATGGATAGTAAAGTTCAGATTCTATCAAACCATTCAATGTTATAATGTAAAAAGGTTACATAAAAAAATGAAAATATTAATCTGAAAATATTAAAAGCTACACTATTTTCCAGACATTGAAAAGAACATCTACATTCTATAGGAACAAATTGGTCAATTGAAAATACAGATAAATATTTTTATGTTTTCTGAATATGGGTTATGTTCCTGTGTCCTGAAACACACAGGAAAACTACTGAGTCTGCTTGCCGAATGATTCACCAGCTGCTGCTGCTGCACGCGTGTGTGTCTATGTGTGTGTGCATTTTTCAGCACAGTCAGTCATTCAGTTTGGATTAGCAAACTGTAACAGACGGCATTGTCAGGGAGTCATAGACAGACAGTGGAGCGACAGAGCAGCAACACAAAGAGCATTTTTTTTTCTCCGTGTTGATTCTCATTCAGTGGCCAGTTCAAGCTTTGCTGTTTCACATTTCTCGAGGAAACTATAACTACAACATTAATTTTGTTTTGTGCAGAGACTTTATGGGTTTCAGATATATCGGCTTGTTTGCAATGTTAGAGTTCTGCCAGATGTTTTAGTGTTGGGCAAATCTCTCAGTTTTGGTTTCATCTAGTCAGAGCACCTTCTTCCAGATGTTTACTGCAGCTCTTGCACTGCTTGTGAAAAAATAGTTCAACAATGGTTTTCTACCAGAGTTGTAGAATGGATGACAAATGATCCTGTCAGCTTAAATACTAATCTCTGCAGCTCATAAACCTCAAACCCTCTTTGACTCAGTTTCAAAGTTTCAAGGTATAATTTTTCTGATAATGAACAGTATTCCATAAAATTATAATGATTTAAAATATTACTTTAGAATTTAACGACACTTCAAACATCTCCATAACTTTCTCCCTGTCCAAAGACAGGGAGAAAGTCCAAAGACAGGGAGAAAGTTATTGTATTGGCTAATAGAGTGAAATCCCAATAAACGAACAGAAAACTTGTGGTTGTAGAAATGTTATTAAAAATTTTACAAATTCAAATGATGTTGGTGCTTTTGTAAACGATCCATGAGTTACCAGATTTCTTTTACTTTGTGTCTTTCTAAATTAATTCAACACACCTGGTCTCGTTAATGTAGTTTTGAGGAGTTATATAACCAGGTTACATTTGAGATTTATGTTGAGTATCTTTTGTAAACCGACTCAATAGGTTTTCAGTTGGTCACTTTTTTTAGATAGCCCTGCTTTTTTCTTGATCGCCCACTAGAGGGCAACATGCACCTTCAGTTCGAGCTGACTACATGGCTGTTATTAGTTTTTCAGCTGCGTGAAACGAACAACCAGGACTTCTTTAAGGGAACAAGTGTTTCCTCAGAAAAAAGTAGACAATTTATTTTAGTATTAACAAAAAAGGCTTTTTAGGATGTAACAGCCTGGAGTTTGAAGTTTTTTGTTAATCTTCTTTCATCATTTGATAGAAGTTAATGATTGTTTGTAAAAACATATTCCCAAAGAAAGGACCAGTCATTGAACACTATCTTGTCCTTCTCTTTGTGCAGATGTGTGTAACAGTGCTGACTTGCCAGAGCTTGAGATTGTCAGCCTGTTGGAGGAGCAGCTGCCTGTCTACAAGCTGAGGGCCGACACCATCTTCGGTTATGATCAGGATGATTGGCTGCACACGCCATTGGTGGATCCCGATTCTTCCCTTGACCTTACCAATGAACAAATAGAAGAGACCTTCAAATACTTCTGTAAGTTCAACTCTATTTTGCAGTTCTATCAAATTAAAAACAAACACTGCAATAATAACTATATTTAGAAAATTCTTAATTGTTTAAGTCGGAGAGGTTAGTGACATTCTTCTCTGGCGGTCATCTTTCCATTTACAATGTGGACATGGTTACCAAAACAAACACCGGCTGCCTCTCTTAATGCTTGGGTTATTGTTCAGCTTTGTATTGTGCTCTGAACTTGCGCTTTATGCGTATGTCTGCTTTTGTCTTATCAAACTGCCTCAGTGTTGCCACCGTTTCAGCTGGAAAACACACACACACACCCACATAGCTACCTAAGAATCCAATAAACACAAGCAGGCTCACTGAAACACGTGCCAATGTCACACGCAGCAAACCCAGAGAACAGAAGTTTTTCTTTTTTTTCTCACCATTAATTATTCAGTTCTAATTGCTGTCTGCTTGAATAGTGACTCGGTTAGAGTGAAAGCAATGTTACTTAAATTAGATTATATGTTCTATTTATATTCTCAGTTGAAAACTTAGACTTCACCTCTGTGTTCGGTGACTACTGGGTCACTGTGGCCTGTGCAGACACAGACAACAACAAGGTCACGGTTTCTTTGGGATTTCTGCCATGCTTTTTTCCCCCTTATTTGTCTGCATTTTCCAGGTATTAGAGTTCCTGGCTGTCAGGATCTGCCATGAATGAAAGTTGCTTGTCAGCTCTGACAGATGGCCTGGGTATCGGCACCCTGAGGCCGTATTATAAATAAGCTCTGTTGGGACATATGGGTGTCTGTCAGGCCATGAGGCTTACGGATCTTGCACGAATCATCAAACCAGATATCATAAAGAGTGGTACAGCTCATCGTGTAAGCATTTATTTGTACAATTAGCGGCCCAATCTTAAATCACATGTTCGGCACTCTTTTACAACATTTTTTCAAAGCTTTGCATTGGCAGCTACATGAGAAGGTCATGTCTGAGGAGATGGTGACATGGAGGCGGCTGATCAGCTTTGTTGTGATGACATGCCACCCACATGTTTAACCAAACACAGATTATATTGATATTTTGTCTGATTGGTAGAATTGATCCCATTTGATTTTCTTTTGTTCTGATTTGCATTGAAAAGCATTGCAGCTGCTCAGCTGTGATTTACTACAAGTCTTGATATTTTCGAAGCACAGTATACTGAGAAAAATCAAGGTTTTAGAAAATAACTTTAATTCTGATTTCTTCCAATGAAATAGATCCAGGGGTTGGATCAGATGCTTTGGGTAATATTTCAGAACAGTCAAAATAATCATCACGATTCATATTTTAAACAGTTACGTTTATATTTATATATTAACATACCGTAATTTAAGGAATCTTTTACTATCCTTCAGCAGTACTGTAGAAAGCTAATAACTAATATTTCTTTAAGCACATTAGTAATAAACTAGTTTCATGTCTTTTAATAACTGTTGTAGTTTTTCACACTATTGAATCACGCACAGTTCAGACATTTAAGCAGTGTACTTTAAAGTGCATTAAATCTGTAAACTTACACCATGTTTATGTTTCTCAGTTAAAATAATGTGGTTTCTATGTATTTTTTATGCACTGTAGGTTAGAATTATGTTCCCTGCCTCCAGCTGGTGAAATTGTTTCATCACTCTCAAGGTGGTGACTGATTCCCTTTAAAGGCAAAAATGTTCATCCGTTTTGGGCCAGCCACGTCACCACTGCCAACGCTACACGGCGTTTCCTGCTAACATCTTCTCCATGCTGAAAAGCCTTGGAGTCAGAGCCTGTTACTGTAGCAACCCCTCAGAAGGACAAAGTAGAGGAGAGGAGGGAACAAATGCTGACATGCAGCAGTAGGCGGGAGCATGCTGGGAAATAATCTTCCTTTTTATTGGCCAGAAGCTTCCTCAAAGCCCTCCCTTGTAGTGTTGTCATGGTTAGCATCATTTCTGCTGCAAAACCCGTGACTGCTGCTGCTGCTGCTGCTGCTTGTCAGTGTATTCATTGAGATGCAGATGCAGAGCTCCATGTGTGGGTCAGTGTTAGTGATAGTATTGTAACACAGATAAAGGACAGAACTGGACCTTAAGGGAACTGAAACACCAAGGAATTGGCCAAAAGAGGAAAACAAACTAACATGAAGCTTTTAAAGGATCTGAAGACGATGGGATTTACAGCTTTTGCTCTGAAGCTTTGGAATGACTGAGGAAAACTGATGACCAGAAAAAAGGAGACAACACACTAGAGGTCAAGGGGAGACTCACAGAAGACCCTCTGCTGATGGAAATAAACACAACAGTGATTTTTTTTCTTCCTTCTTCCAGCTGATGACGCAGGCAACATCTCTGTAAAGTGACATGCTAAAATGGCACCAGATATCCAATGAATAGGACTAATAAACAGACAAGCTAAAAGGATATATAATGAGAATAAGAGGACCTGTTCTAACCTGTGTGGCCTCCGCTAACCACCAAGCATGGGCAAAGCAGAAATGACTGACTGATCCCCAGACACTATCTGGAATTACACATTTAAGTGGCAGCTGAACTTCTTTAGCCATGCCGGGATGCTGGACATACCAAAGATGCTAGGGCTAAACATGCTGGAACATTGGTGCGTCTTTCTAACAGAGCAGTGAGGATGAAGAGACGAGGCCACACCAGAGGCCAGAGGTTTGTCAAGGCTGACTACTATGAGCTGGACTGGTACTATGAAGAGTGTACGGATGGTAAGAGACAATATGCGTTAGTAAGAGTTGTTAAAGTTGAGTTCAGTATATTTATACAACACTAATTCACAACAAAGGTGGGTAACAGAAAAAACAGATCGGTTATATGAAGAAATGTATAATCAGGCTCTGTAGTCACACTGTGCTGTGAAGAAGACTGTTCATATCATTAAGTGGTTAGGATTTGTTGAGTCATGGACTGCTCATAAAGTTTTTGTTCTATCAAGACATGCAGCAGACAACATCAAGTCACTGACTTTCAGCAATCTCCTCCTGGACAAGCACGTAGTGACAGTGGGTAATTGCTTGCAACGTGCTGTTAACTTTTTTGGTAATATTTGTTTTCTAGCCATCCTGCTGGATGGCTCGTGTAATTCACGAGGAAAGACCCTTGTTTTATGAATAAAATTAATTTAAAAAAAATTTAAAAGGAGAAAGAAAATGCTGGCTTTGGATTCGGGGACATTCTGAATGTGGTTTTGCAAAAAATATACAAGTTAGCTGGTGCATCCAGGTTTAAAGAAACCAGATGAAACTTAAACTTAGTGGTGACAGAAGATAAAGAAAATGTAAGTTTTATTCAGGTTTTTTGTGTCTGGAAATAGACTTGCTGGCAGTACATGTTGAGGCGTACCTTCAGTAAACCGAGTTTATGCTATAATAAATGCTATAATCCTGACTGATTAATAAAGCAGTTTATTGTTTCAAAAGAGCTATCATAGGAAACAACATAGGAAATATATTGTTGAAATAAACCACATAGCATGTAATTGAACGGCATCTTAATGATTCTCTTTGTGTTTAGTGACGTTACCTAAATGAACTTATTTGGATGTGCGATCTCAGCAGTCGATTGTCTCCAATATTATCACAGCGCTTCAGCACCTTGACAAATAGATAACTTTTTTAAAGCTGTTCAACGTGCTTTACTAGAAACAAACAAACAGCACATTCAAATGAATGAATGAAACAAAAGTATGACTAACACCAGCAAGGATAATTATGTAAAGGAATAACCAAGCAGTAAAGTCTCTGCAGGTGTTGGTGCAGCGAGAAGTATTTATGTAATCCGCCAAGGTCAGTTACAGCATCATGTAGGGTTACATTTCAGGAGCACGAGTGTGTAACCAGATACAGTGGATAAAGATCCCTCAGATTGGTCCTGGTGCCTGTGACTTGTTGAGGATGCCCGGAGTGATGGTACCTGGTCATGTGACAGGTGGGACTAACGGCAGCAGGCTGGAGCAGTCATTAGCGTGTCACCAGGCTGTGGCTCCGGCTGTGTCTGTGATATGTCTGCTGTCGCCTGCTTTGATCTGGCTGCGCTGCAGCTTTCAGTATAATGTGTCAGCTGACCGCCTGCTCATAACACACTGTTTTTTTTCTGAGACCTAAGATTAGGTATGTTTTGTACACCGCTGCATTTATGTGACTTTCTTGTATTTTTTGAAAAATTTTAATTGTAATCTAATTCCACATTTCTTGTTAATATTATTCAGATGGAGGAGAAAAATAATTACTTTCATGTTAGTGTGTTGTAATAGCCATGTGTGTCAGGGATGCTGTAGATTTTCTTACATAACAGCACCTTTCCGATAAGACTTTATCTCCAGCTGTGTTATTCAACCGTGGCTGCCAGCCAAGCTTTGATTTCTAATGTTTGGTGTTTTGACTTTCTTGGCAACCAGATCGAGGGGATTATTTTTGACAAATCTCCTCATGGAGGCAGGAATAGCAAGCAGCTGATTTTATTCTGAGCCCGGCATGAGGAGGGGGGGGGAAGTAGTTGGCTTATATTTAGCTCAGTGATTTGCATGTGGCTCCAAGTCCCTTTTTTGTTAACGACAGATTGCAACACTGCTTGTCGCTTTTAGAAGCCTTCAAAAGAACTGGGCCGAATGAGCTGAGTCCAATCAGAACAAGGGCGTGGGAAAAACTCAGATCTATTGTTTCAATGGGAATGTGGAGGCCAGCTGGGAATCGGGGATGTCTTTTTAAATAGTTTTGGATTAATTATTCAAACTTTTTAACCTGTCAGAGTAGAAAAAGTTGTTAAAAATTGACTTCTTTCAGATACTCATTCAGCAAATTTATTTCCACTTTTGCTTTTTGGAAATAAAGCCACTGGTTATATTAGAAACGTTTGGTAACTTTATAAACGCGTCTGTCAAGAGAAACTGATTCAAGTTATTAAAATTAAGCACGAAAGCAAGAATGAAAGAAAACATATGGGCTGAGAAGAGTGAATGTGACCAGGAAAGCAATGAATGTTGTTTGTGGAGAAGCCCTTTATTGTCCGCAGAACAACAGAGCTGTTCTGTGGGACTATTGAGTGGAGCTACTCAAGCATGCAAGGTCGTCCAGACCTGGAATCACTTTTCTAAACTAATTACAATGAAAAGCATGAGGGTTGTGCAAAGAACTAGTATTATGGACTAAAGCTCATGATCACTTCTAAAAGTTTGAGGCTCACTGGTTTCATTTTGTTGAGCAGAAGAGAATATTTAATGTTTTAGTCAAAAGCTTTTTCCTAATTGTTTTCAAAAATGAAAGTGAACTTCTTTAAAATCATAATTCAGCTCTATTGAGTAGTACTTAGTGATAATAGGGCTTTTGTTTATAGGGGTATTAGCATAATTAATGTCACTTGTGTAGTCCAACCATATCCACCTATTATTGCCCTTCACAGAACCTCAGAATAAAACAGAGGGAGGTTCAAAATAAACTGGATGAAATGTTTATTATGATGTGACTCTCGGGTGTTGGAAAAGCAAACCGAGTTTTTTTGCAGAACCACTTGTACCACCAGTTCCAAACTTAGACAGCGTAAAGGGCAGAACAGAAAGAAAAGCTGTCGACTTTCTGAAAAGATTAAAGACTCATTTAAGAGTTCACCTAAACTTTGCTGTTATTGTCCTAATGTTTTGCAATTTGGAAGTCTGTTAAAGACCCTTTGGTTTGTGTGGAACTCGGCTAAAATATCTTGACGCTTGAGCACGCTGGTTTGTGTGTAAGATGTTCTGTCCGAATCAAGTTATGCCCTCCTCTGACCAAGAGGTCCAGCACATCGAACAACAACCAGAATGAACGGCTGTCATTGTGTTTGAATTAAACACGTTTATCAGATGAATGGTTGCCTCCTGAATGAGCACTGTGGGAGGGCAGATCTGTCCTTTTCAACAGGAATCAAACTGGAAAAACCAGGCAGAGGGACGGTGGCTACTTTCTGCCCAAACCAGTTCTGTGGTTTGAAAAAAGCCATTATGACACAATTTGAAAGGAATGCATGTTTTGAAAGGTAGAAATACAGCATGTCATCAGAATAAGGACAGACAGGGAAATATTTTTCTGCTTGATGATACTGTGTGCTGGATTCATGTAAAACCTTTCACCTGCGGGGGTTTGTTTATCACGCCACACCCTGGAAACCAGTGACTGTCGCTGTTTGCCCAGCTTCAGTGTCGCCATGGAGGCTGGACTGGGCTGGGCTGTACCAAGGTGTTATCACCTGAGAGGGGTTGTAAAATGACTTATCTTCCTTTTAACCTGAGTAAGAACCAGCACTCAACACCTTTAATTTTTCCACCTGTAAGTTGTGTCTCTCCACCACCGAAATAAAAATCTGCATTAAACAGTTGTGGATTACAGAGTTAGGAATTATGTTCTTTAAATCCCTTCATCTGTTGTATTAATCTGCTCTAACCCAGTTTTCTAACTTTAAATATGAGACAAGTGGGGATGTACCTCTCTTCCCCGTGTCTGTGTTTAAGTAGAACAGGCCGCAGACTGACCAGTCAGAGAAGAGAAGAGGAGGAGTTGAGCTGTCTGGTAGTCTCTTACCGACCTGCGATAAGGGACAGCTGATACTCACACTCCTACGTATTCATCAGGCTGCTATCCAACACATACAAACACGGGATCTACCCTGTCAGAGAGACATGTACTTCAAGAGGGAAGCGCAAACATTTGTCTGTCAAAGATCATACCTACAGCAATGTACCGGCCCCAGGTAGGACACATGGCTTTGCCTCTGAGGACTGGTTGGCTGTAGCGTCAGAAGGGGAGGATGGCTCTCTGCATGTCTGGCCATGAGGACACATTGGACTTCTCTGACCAGGATCAGGACGAGGAATATGTTTGTTTGCCCATTCATGAAAGCACAAGGCAGCAGGAGGAGGATGAAGATGTGGAACCTGGCTTCTCCAGGCATGGAAGACACAAGCAGGATGAGCAGAATGAAGACATGGATGAAGAGCAGCAAATGCTTTATGAAGGTAGCTACTGGTTAGTGCGATCATCAATAGTCCTCATTGCTTCTTCAAAAGCATATAGATGGAAATTTTTTTCTGTGGAATCATGTGTTTGTCCTGCACGTACAGTCCCTCCTTTGTAGCTCATCCCCCCTGAATGACAAAATAAACTCTGATGTTGTAATTAATATTATAATTACGGTTAAGATGAATTGTGTGTTGCACATCAACATTCCTCGCAGACTGTGCTTTGGGGGATTGATTGGTTAAAACAACAACAGCTCTTTCCTGTGTGTTGCCTTAGAGTTTGCTTCCCTGTGCCTGAGTGTTTCCCTCAGCCTCGTCTGTAACTCCACACTGCAGAATTTGCAGCCGTGTTGCAAATTACGCTGACAGAAAACATGCTAAGATGTTTAAATGTGAAACTATCTCCATAATTAGAGGTTCCCTGATTGATTGACCCATGATCGGAATTAGACAATTTTTGTAACAGGTAATCGGCAGGTCAAATATTAGGGTTTGTTTTCACTTTTTTAAATGCATCAGAAGTGAAAAATCTAATCATTTTTGGCTTATTAATGCATCAATCAATAACATTCACTTTTGATAAAACATTTTCTGTGTGGAATAAAAACATAGTGCACTGCTTTCGACATATGCTCTCATGCATTTTCATTTTTGTTCGATTTGAAAATCTGTGAAGTAACTTGCTGCCTCTTATGATTTTCCAGAAAATAATTTTTAATCGCACAAAATCAAACTTGGCAAATCAGACCACTGGAAATCACCCCCGGGAAAAATTGATCGTTGCATTGTTAATATAAGCATGAATTAGCATTTTACGTGTAGCTGCATCTTAAGTTTTCTGTTGACAAGAGAGGCTGTACAGTGCTAGTTAATTTTTTATAAATAGTTAAGCCATATTAACCCAAGTCCAATAAGGAAATGATTGTTTTAGTGAAATCCCATTGTGTTACATGTCATCAGTCCCAACAGACTGTGTTCAGGGAATTGATTAAGATAACAAGAGCTCCTTGCTATGTGTTTTCTTAGTATCCTTGTACTACTCAGTAGTGGGCTAAATGTGTCTGTGACTCAGGCAGTCGTCTTGAAAATTACCAATAAAAGCATACCAATATTGGTTAATTGGTCTTATTGGTTAATAACATCCATTATAATATTAATATAACTCTCTGGACTGTTACACCTTTTATTACTGAAATGGCTGAACAAGACAAAATGCGTCTTCTCTGTTACGTCCTTCACATTAAAGAAGTAGTGGGTAGAGTGAACGTATCTGTCTTAAATTACCTTCTGTTATGTTAGACTTGCCCTCATCAACATGTTCCTCCCTCTTTTTGTCTGCGAAGCTAAATTGTTAATAAAATGTTAATCAGTAAAGTATGAATACTTCCTCTTGGCACCGAATGCTTTGTGCATTAATTCATCGTCATGTATTTTTGTTTAGTCATTTCACCTGGGAGGAGTATTTTTGTGGAAATAAGCCAGCATGGTCATTGATTAGCTGCACGTACACAAATATGAAATGTGACAGGGAACAGGCTGCACCCTGTCCTTCCACGCTTCCACAGCAGATAGCAGATGAAGACAAAATGTTGTGGTTTGTCAAGTATATGGGCGGATCTGGGGCTGAATGGGTATTACAGTACATTTGTGCGTTTCATCCTTAGGCCTATTTGTTGCTGATGCTACAGTTCAGATTAAGATTTTGATCTAAGTTTATTTTTCTGATTATTTATTAACCTCAGGTTTGTCGTCATTGATGCTAACACTAGCTTTTTATAAGGGTTGGTCTTTATGGCATGAACGGTTGTTATTTTTTTATGTTAAGACAGGTGACGCACACCTGCATATGAAAACACAAAGGCTGTAAAACTGTTTTACTAATATTTTAAAATCTTCACAAAGTGATTATGTAGTTGATTCTTCAAGCTGTCTTTATATTTACATTTGCGGTAATTAGCTAGAATTCCTAAAGCAGCACTTAAAGTGTGTGTCCCTAAAATAATCTTCATCTTTAACCATGAGATTCACAAAAGGCTGCCAACATTTCCAAATAATAGCAGACAGAGGTTGAAAGCACAATATAATAACACAGAGCAGTTTTGCCGTACTCAAACTATACTGTGCTGTAAGGTTCTTTATTTATGTCTAGGCTTTGACTGGGCCATTCTAATACCTACATTTATAGTTGAACGTGAAGGGTCATAGCTGAGCATACCTCCATTTTCATCAGCCATGGTGAAAATTTAAGGCTATAGTCCTAATATTGTAAAACATGAAAAAACATTGTAGGGTATAAATACTTTTACAACGTACTGTATATCTTGTTTCTGACAGCCACGCTGTTGTTCCAAGTGTTGATGATAAAATGTTGGCTTTGCATGGGCCGATTCTTTTTGCATTACTGTTTTGCATATTCTTTGCATCACATTCCCTTTTTGCTAAAGATAAACGTTGAAAACGTCAGACGTGATCAAATTTCTTTTTAGGGCTTCAGTGGTGGAATGTGGAAAAGTCAGCCATGATGAGACATGTACTGAATCTGCAAATGAAGGAGATGGATAACTATACAGTTTTACACTCTGACCTCTGAAACTGCTCAGTAGCTTATCTTTTCTGACTCATTAGTTAGGTTAAAGACTAGCGTGTTGTTTATGTGGGTAATAAAGGTTGGTCACTGAATTTTGATCATGCATGTTCTTCTAACTGGAAGCGAAAAGAAGGCTGCAGAGGGAGCCACTAAACTCTGTTTACATGTCGGCTGTGATGGTTGGAAGTTGAAATCCAGGAAGTAATGAGCTGTTTTATTATGCAAAGTTATATAATTTGAAGTCTGATGATACAAACGGAGGCCTGCCACCCACTTCTATCTATTAGGATGAATACTGGAGACACCTTTACTAATCACGCTATGCAGATCCACGGTTCCACATAATTGAATTAGTGATTCAAAGACATAATGGTGATTCTGTTTAGAATTTCATATATGTAGTGTAATAAATATGCATATTTTTTCTGCACTAGTTGGTCTCTAAAAGCTTTCAGTGTCTCGCAATAGTATTCATCCTGGTTTTCTTTCAGGATTTCATTGTTTTTTGCTGAAGAAAGCTTTTACCACAGCATGGTGCTGCCATGAAGATGCTGTGTGCAGTGCAATGTTCAAAATGTGAAACTTTGCAGTGGATGACGAATAGTTCTGTGGTCAACAGATTCTCCGTTCAGAGCTGCGGATGTCTGCAGGTCCTCCAGAGTTACTAGGCACTCCTTTGATTTATTCTCTCCTAATTCTCTTCTTTTAACCTTGTTCTGGTACATAAAACTTCAATAAAACGCATTAACATTTCTGGTTGTAACATGGTAAAATGTGCAAAAATCATTGAGGTATAAACAATTTTTGCAGTGTTCTTTAAATGTGACCATTTGTCTTTTTAAATTTTTTTTTTTTATTTAAGACAAAAATCCTCAGGGTCACGTTTGTAATGCCTGCTTTAAGATGTGCATTGCTAAGTGCAGTTGTTGTTGTTTATCTTCTTTTGGACATTTGGCTCTGAAACTTACCGTTCCCTCCATGTCTCCCTCCTGCAGTGTTGTGTGCAGACAGAGTGGGCCAGATGACAAAGACCTACAGCGACATTGATGCTGTCACCCGACTGCTGGAAGAGGTCAGTACGGAAAGGGAGAATCTGTCGAAGCAGATCAAACAGAAGGCGGCATTTTTAGAGGGATTTTAAAGCACTTACGTTGGGGATGTTCTAAGTGACGATTTAAAATGTGGGATTTTCTCTGAGGCTCAAAAGAACAACATTGTTGAACTCGTTTCCTAAAGTTGATATTTTAATGTAACTTATCACCTACCGGTCAGTGACAAAAAAAAGCATAAAGAAGGACATTAAGAGACAAAAGTGTCTGAAAACCAAATGGTGTCGCTGTCAAATAAAGCTTGAGATGTAACACTCAGATGGGATGGGCATGCAGGTTTTCTCTGAACAAAGCTCTGATTGTGATTATACCAGGTGCTTTGTGTTCTTCAGCTGCACATGAAACGCATCTTAACGTTGTTGCCTTTGTGTGTCAGGCTATTTTTACTGCCAGGAAACAAAATGTTTGTGAGGCAGCAGATTCAGCCTCAGGTGAAGAAACCCTTAATGGTTGTTCAGGCATGACTAATAGAAGCCTTTTCTGTATGCTCAGCTCATGATATATTCCATTACTTCATTTATTGCCAGTCCTCGGGTAGATTGATGAATAACCTTCAAATGAAAGGATTTGTATTTGCAGTAGAATAATCGGGCAATTAAAATTTGAAAAAAAAATAAAAAAATTAATTCTGTGTATTTAACAGGGGGGCAAACATTGTTAGATATAATTGTTTTAAGAAACTACACTTTAAATGACCATATTTTGCAAACAGGACAATATTCAGTCCTCTAGTGTGAAAACTTCCTCCTGATTTCATCTTCTCTTCAGCTCAAACTCTGGGTGTTCCCATTGGAGGATAGAGAAAGCCATGAAATAAGGTTGATTTTGAGTCTGGTGATGCTTTTTTTTTTACAGTAGAAAAGCAGCTCCACAGCTTCATAGATTCTCCATCATTTATTACTTCACATCAGACACTCTTGGAGTGTTTGTTGCTGAAAAACTCAGTCTTAGTCTGACCAGAGCACTTGGTTCCAGTTGAAGTCCCAGTAGAGTTTAGCAATCTCCACCTGTTCAGGCTGGAAACATTTTTGATTTTATTGTGATGGTTGGGTTGTAAGGTTTGCGTTCATAGAACGCCCTGACCCCTTCATACTGCTTACTGTGTGCTGACAAAACAAATATGAGTTTCATACTGGCCGTAGCTGAACGAAATGTCATATCAGTAACGCAGAAAAAAAAGCAAATCATGGATGGAAAATTGGACTTTTATTAAGGGAAAGTAAAAATAAAAAAAAGCTTTTTTGATATTCTTTGGATGGAAGTGTTTGGGGGACCAATGATTGTGACACCATTGATTTCTGTTAAAATACAGTACAATATGTTTTGTTTTTTTAAGGTGACATTTTTCCCCACAGTAAATTACATTCAATTATAAATGTTGGATTTTTCCAAAAAAAAATTTAATGTGTGCTCTATGTTACTGCGATAAGAGATGAATCTATTTTAAGGTTGTTTTTTTAACTTGACTCATAGGTTTTGATGACTATGTGGTGGAATAAACAAACACTTGGCGAAGCGGTGCTATTGTCTTTCTGCTTTGGATTTGTTGGAAACAGAGAATAGTCTTTCCAGTAAATCTTTAACATGCTCCTAAAACATTTTCTGCTCTAGTAAGCGTAACAAACTATCTTTAGCACGGACAGACAGATTTCTTGGTACTTGTATGGCTGGCTGATATTTATTACTTCTTTGCAATACTGACCTGGAGAACAGTGGTATTGCAATTCTGAAAGATATGGTCATGATATATTGCGCAGCTCTGAGGAAGCGACGCTGATAAATATACCTGCAATAAAAGCTTGTTTATATTTTGTTTTATTTTGTTTTGTTGATGTTTCTTCCTCTTTAAGATTAATATATTACTAAGAAGACTGATATTCTACTTAAATACACTTTAATTATTCAAATCTGATTGAATAAATTTATTTTTCTTGAGCAATAAACATACACCTGATGTAGCTTGGGCAGTGGGTGACGTAATGATGTGGAGGCTAATAGTCAGAGACGTAACAGTTCATGGTTCATTTCCTGAACTTGGGACTTTCTCCACTTGTCTTCCCACCTTCTGAGAAGCAATAGAGAAAAAAACACTAGTTTGAACATTTAACTGTGAAATAAAATCAGAAATGTTGTTGTTTTATTCATCTTGCACACTTTCTTTAACAGTGCAACATTTTGTGGTGTTGAAGTTTTGTATTTTTTGATGCCTCTTGGCCAGGACTCCTTTTGTCAAAAAGAGATTTTAATCTCAATGGGATATAATACTGTTTAAAATAAAGATTAAATAAAAATAATGTACATATATATATGTTTTTAAATTGCTCTACATCAAAGTTTTTGTTTGGAGCAGAAAGAGCGGGACCTTGAGCTGGCAGCTCGCATCGGACAGTCGCTGCTGAAGAAGAACAAAACTCTGAGTGACAGGAACGAGCTGCTGGAGGAGCAGGTGGATCACATCCGAGAGGAGGTACATACCAGCAATATTGAAGGGCTTCTGTAATCTCTCAGATTCAAAGGTGACAATAGATTAACTGCCACATATGCAGGTTTATTTATTTATTTTTTTATTGAGCTTTGTAGGTGCTTGGACAAGAGCTGATTCTCCAAATCAGCTCTTTTGTTGTACTTCCCCTGTCCAGTGTTCATCATGTTCGCATATGTTCACATCCAGGTGTCTCAGCTGCGACACGACCTCTCCATGAAAGATGAGCTGCTGCAGTTCTACACCAACGCCGCTGAGGAAAGTGAGGGGGAGTCCAACACCTCCACACCGTAAGCATCCTAAAGTGTTGTTGAATTGACATTGAGAAGTTTTGGTTGAATTTGTAATAATACTTTATTTGTTTTAGGGGTTTTAAATAAAATAAATGTAATAAAGGTGAAATTGGTGTTTATTTGCAGGGTGCGTTTGAGTGAACTTAACGTGTCCACCCCGACCCCGTTTCCATTGGACTCCCTGCAAAAGAAACTCAAAGATTTGGAAGAAGAAAACAAATCACTGCGATCTGCGGTACATAGAAACATAAGCTTTCACTGTAATGTAAAAGACAGCCTGCATTTCAGATAACAGAAGTAGATATACATATAAATTCTAATAAAACAGGGCTGTTTAATCACAGGCTGATTAAACAGCCCCGTTGCTTATGTGGCTAAAAATAAACCACACACTATTTCTAGCCCTCAGTTTGCTCCTAGCTGGATATCTGACCACTTGAGTTTATTTAAATATGTTGGCTTTCTGCCACAGATCCAACGCTTCAGCAAATTGTAGAAATTTTAAGTGGGCTGAAGTCGGGGCCACTCCAGAGGCTTAATGATGTATCCAATCCAAGACCAGTTCTGAGGCTTCAGCAATACATAATCAATACGCTATAATAATAAAACCAGTATTTGTTTTCCATGTTAAATAAATGCATCGTTGAATATTTCAGATTGCAAAGATTGATCACCGGTTTATCCATTTGTCCTCACAGGCGAATCATTTGGAGACTGAAACGATCTCGTACGAGGAGAAGGAGCAGCAGCTTGTCAGCGACTGTGTCAAAGAACTACGTGAGTTTTATATCTTTCTTTTTTTTTAATCTTATCTGTCATTAAAATTTCAGTGGCTACATTTTTTCCCCTTTCACCCTTCCAGGAGCTGCCAACCTGCAGATTTCCTCTCTGGCAGAAGACCTGGCCAGGAAGAGCGAGGATGCCTCCAGACAGCAGGAGGAGATCACACACCTCCTCTCTCAGATCGTCGACCTGCAGAAGAAGGCGAAGCTCGTACGAAAGCCTTAAAAAACAAATAAATAAAAAAAGCTGCTGATGCAAACATGGATTTTTAGATACATTAGATAAAGAATTGCTACTGCATGCCCTCTGTTGTCCTCGGTGTTCACAGTATGCAGTGGAGAACGAAGAGCTTACTCAGCACCTGGGTGCAGCCAAGGACGCCCAGAGACAGCTCACTGCTGAGGTAAGCTTGCAAGCTATGACCACATGACTGTAAAGGACAGTATTAAGCTATTTTATCTGTGTTCTTATTTATGTGAAAAGTGACCATTTTTGAGGTCCAAAGCATTCTCCTTATGCAGCAAACTCTTAAGTATTTAATCACTACTTAGAAAAATAAGTTCTAGACTTGAAGTTTGCTTTGTAACTATATATTTACTCATAGGAAGTAATTTTTTCTTGATAACAAGCTTTAATTAAGTACAAAAACACTTAAAATGAGAAAAATATTCCAACATAAATGCCTCTTTGTGGGAAAACGTATCTTGTCAGAAAGGAGACCAGCATAAACATCCTTAATGCAAGATATTTAATCTTAGACTCCAGTTTTTGCAGTGATTAGAGACTGGATGTTAATTAGGTTTAGGTCAAAGTTAAACTTGGATGGAGGTTTTTGGACGAAATAATTTGAGTTTATCTCCCTTTCAGATCTAAATTTCAAGCTATTTTTATTCAACTAAAAAGTTTGTTTTCTGATAGGAGTTAAGACATGCATCTATTACAAGATGTCATGTCTTATTTATGTCCAAAGCAACGTCTTAATTGCTCTGGTGCGTCAAGATTAAATTTGGTAGATATTTAGTTTAAATGTTAACTGTTTTTTTTTTGTTGTTGGGTTTTTTTTTACTCTGCAGAAGCACAAAAAAGTATTTTTAGTTTAGTTTCTACGGCAAATATCTTAGTATGAGACAAAAGTAACGAGTAAATTTTTAGCAAGAAATAGGATCCTATTTAAAGTAAAAAAAATCCTTAACTTTGAATAAAAAATACTTGTTACACTGGCAGAATATTTTATTTACTGTAACGTTCTCATCAGTGTTAAGGATTTATTGACTTAAAGCAAGCTGCTACATCTTGCTAAAAAGTAACTTGTAAGTTAGTTTTGTCTTATTTCAAGTGCATTAAGATATTTGCACTAGAAATTAGACAAAAAATGCTTTGTAATGTTCTATCTTTTTGTAGCAGTGAACTGTGCAATTAATTCTTTAAATATATATTTATGTTTTAAGTCAAAAGTCTAAGTCAAGCCAAACTTGCTACATTGTTTTCACTTTTTTCTGTCCTTCCGCCTCTCCTCTCTCCTTGCTCAGTTGCGGGAGCTGCAGGATAAGTATGCAGAGTGTATGGAGATCCTCCATGAGGCTCAGGAGGAGTTGAAGAACCTGAGGAATAAAACTCTACCTCTCAGCACCCCGAGGCGTTTCCATACACTGGGTTTATTCCCAATGGTCAGCACATGAGCCGTTACAGCTTTATGCAGTTTAGTACATCAGACTGTCAGCTCCAGCAGAATGAATGGATTAATTTTCTTCTCTCAGGACTCGCTTGCAGCAGAAATAGAGGGAACTATGAGAAAAGAGCTTCAGATGGATGATCCAGATGTAGAAGAGCAGAGGTACCTATAGTTTTATACTCCAACGTTGTTCCTGCGTGATGCTTTTAATATGTTCCTCAATGATGTGATTGTGTCGCTTGTTTCTCCAGACTGCACCCAAAGCGAGTTTTCCAGACGGTGAAAAACCTCAACCTGATGCGTCAGCAGCGTTCCTCTGCAGCCCCTTCCCCTCTGAACATCCCAGGGTCCAATCAGAACTCGTGCTTCACATCGGGCCTCTCCAGCAGGGTGGGCACACCTCGCTCCAACTCCATCCACGGGAGTGAAACAGGAAGTGGAATCATCTTGGACAACAAGACAAGCAGTATCCTGGAGGGTCCGGATGACGGGTAAGGAACATTTCAAATCTTTAGCAAACAGGAAGGGGGAAAAAAAAAGAGATTGCTCTTATTCTTACCTGTCTTTCTCTCCTCAGGTCGGAAGACTCCAACAAGCGGCCCCCTGGTACGCCGGGGACCCCAGGCAGCAGGGACCTGGAGGCAGCACTGCGACGCCTGTCGCTGCGCCGTGACAACTACCTCTCAGAGAAACGCTTCTTCGAAGAAGAGAGGGAGAGAAAGCTAGTCTACCTGGGGAAAGAGGAGGAAAAGGGAGAGGCTGAAGGCAGCAGGGGCCCAGGGACCCCAACAGAGAGCCTGCTGTCGTTCTGCTCGCATCCGTCCTTTGGAAGCATCTGGTCAGGATACTCCATCACAGCCAGGTCCTACCTGCCAGAGAAGCTGCAGATTGTAAAGCCGCTGGAAGGTGATTATTGGTCTAATGATCTTCTTGACACAAATAAGGAAAAGAAAAATCGTAGCTTTCAAAACGTCTTCTTGACTTCAAACAAAAACTCAAAGAGAAAAGAGAATCACTACCAGAAGCAGAGACAGGACTACAACTATGTCTTTCTAAGTAGTTCAAACAGTGAGACACAGATTAGTCCAACACAAGACAATGACAGCAAACACCCCAACCGGTATTTAATCTTTCATAACCAGAGCGAGTCACAGATCCTCCCAAGTGCCTCACCGAATGTGAAGCTGCGCAGAAGCTCCAGTCTGTTGGAGATTCGCAGCCTGTCGGTTTTACAGCCTCCCCTCAGAGCTCCTCTGGCTCTGGGCAGCAGTCTGCTGTCGGCCTTAAGACAAGAAGAAGGCACTTTGAACCTTCAGCACTCCTTTTATTTCAGACACACACAGCCGCTCTGCTGGTTCGAAGTGTAGAAACCACACAGGCCACTGACAACGTAGGAATCTTACAGATCTCAAAAAATTAGCACATGGTCTTAAAAAAGTAAACCAAACATACCAAACCTATGTTTGGTTTACTTTTTAAACCAAACATACATTGGGTTTGTATGCATTTAATCATTATATTATCCAAATTGTGCCTTATTCGTCAGGCATAAACTTATATTTTAACTAAGATTGTCAGATTAGTTATTACATCATTAATTTACCTCCATATCCATGTTTAACAGCCGTACACCTGACAGAGTTAGATCTCACTCCTGGTGGTTGTAACTTTTTAATGATTAAACTGTTGCAAACACTATTTGCAGTGTTTTTTCTCCACCTACTGTTCAGAACTGAAATTACAATCACAAACACATTACACTATTTGCTGTCTTACATTTAAAATTAAATAAAATGGTAGAAAAAAAACTACATGGTAACATAAAAAAATAGGATGGAAAACTATGTTTTGTTCTTTTTTCTGTATAGAATGTTATTTTGTAATTCAACATTTTCTATAGTTGAGTCAAATAGAATAAACAAAATCAATAGCATATCCTTAGAAATATCCTTTACAGTTCCACCGTGGGGGGAATTCAGGTGTAAAAGCAACAAAGTGACCGAGATGTACGTTCACACAAAATATACAAATTATCGTGTATATTTCTTTTGTTCATTTTTAGCTCTGCTCCTTACGTTTGTGTCTTTTGGGATTTGTTTCGTGATGAAGTGACTGTAACGTAGCAAAGCAGGACAAGTTCATAGATTATTGTTACTGTTTCATCACACTGTAGGTTTATTACTGCTCTCTGTGTTGTTTCTTCTTTCGTTATAAGCAAATTTATTAGCATGACATCTGCCTTCTGAAACATTTACACATTTGTTCTCCCAGTTACACGGCATCTTTTATCTGCAGCTGCTTTTCTTTTCTCTCCATTTCTGTCTCTTTTTGAGCTTTCCTTATTTGATTCTTTCTTCTTCCATTTCACTTCTGTTTTCTTTGTAAACAACTTCCCTAATAAAATCTAATTTCCTCATCTTCCATTTATTATATTCTTGTCTCTTTTCTTCTGGGTAATTCGCTCACATGTTCCCACATTTCACATAAAAAGCACTCAAAATAATGAACTAACAGGATCACAAAGTGCTGAAACTGAACATAGACATTTTGCCCACTTTGCTGTCTGTCATCATGTGAGACAGTTAAAACATGGACACAATCTCTTCTGATATTGTTATCTTTACGCTTGTCAAATATTTTGTTCAGTGGAACAAAACAGAGCAAACTCTTCACAAGCTAATCTAATTCAGGTTGCGGGATGGGTTTTTACTTCCTGTGTCGTTGGCATGCCTGTTTATTCGCTGTACATTTCAGACCTAAATTTTTGTTTTGCTAAGGAATAACCCCAATGTTTCATTTCTCAGATCTATAACTCGATAGATTTATAAATCTACAGATCATCATGTCATATGTGTTTGGGTAGAAGCACAGCTGAAATTATCTCATTGTGAATTACAGTACATCTAGCGTATCTTTAGCATGTTCTCCAGTAACATAAGGCTTTCCTTTTTTACTTGTGCAGGTTCTGCTACCCTGCACGCATGGCAGCAGCTGGCTCAGCCACACATGGGGGCTCTGCTGGATCATCGGCCGGGCGTGGTCACAAAGGGCTTTTGCACTTTAGAGCAGGACCGGGAGCGGGAGGACAGCTGGCAGCTGGACCAGCCGGAGGAGGACGAGGCGTCGTGTGACTCGTTCACCGGCTTGTCAAGGGAGAGCCCTGCTCCGACAGGTTCGCTTCACTCTACCTCCGCCGGCTCCGCCAGCTGTAACATCAATGGCAGCAACCAGCTAGAAGGACCGAATGGAGGAATTAGTGGTCTGGAAGAGGCAGTGGAAGGAAAAGATGGACTCATCGCCAGTGCGCTCCTTTCCTCTTGCCCTTCCCCCTCCTCTCCCGGTCCCTCTTGTCTGGAGGGCAGCAGGCACACAGACCTCAAGGAGCTCCAACCCCTGCAACCTGCCACTGTGGACCGCATGCCTGGTGAGGGAGCGTTTTAGCTGGAAAAGAAAAACCCAACCCCCTGCCTCAAAATGCAGGTTTAAATAAAAATAAATCTGGAGCATGGGGAGACTAGAAGGAGTGGGCAGAGGAAGATGGGTGGGAGGGTGGAAGGAGTGAAGGGAAGGCTTTCACTGGACATTTCACAGCTGTAACGTGGCAACGCTTCCTGCATGATCACACTCACCTTCACTCAAGCCAGGAGCCGCGCCTTACCCACGCAGCCGTCCGCTTCCGTCCAGACAGAGTACTTTTTGATTGTGTTTTTACATTTTTTTCCCCCCTTCTTCTCAGTTTCTCCTTTTCATATGCTGCCTTTGCTTTGCTCACACTTCCTTAGTGCTTAGCAAGTTTCTCAAACCAAAACTTGCAAACTTGTAAAAGTTTAACAAAAAAAAAAAAAACTTAAGAGTTTGAAAATGACTGACAGTGTAGAGATACAGAAGAAGAGAGACACGCATACAAGCTTGCTTACTTGCATGTGTGGAGGCTGCATCAGGTGTTATGACTGCAGCTGTTCCAAGTCACATGAATGCATGACGCTCAGCTGCTCAGAGCTAATTCAGTGGCTCTGTCAGAAGTTCACCTCTATCAGCCCACCCACACTAATCTTGATCAGAGCACTTTGGTCTTTGACAATGTTTACATGTCGTTGAGACCATTTGAGATTTATTTGAAGAATATAGTTTTCATCTGTTTCTTGTTCATCCCTTCATTTCCTATCCTTGCTTCACTCTAATCTTGATTCAGCGGGGGGATTTTTTCTTGTTTTTTTTTTTATTATTATTTAATTATTTGCTTTCAAATTATGTGCATCTAACTTGAATGTAGCAGGTCAGTTTAAATAACTAAGAAGATCATTAGATGTTAAAATCTCTTGAAAAATACAAAAGCAGGGCTAATTAATACAGGTGATTTTGCTTGGGGTCTAAACTGTGACTGCAATCTGTTTCCCCTTTCTTCACAACATGCAGTTGTTTTACAGTGTATGATTTTTGGTGCATTTTTCATCATGACTGACAGAATTTATTTTGTTCTCCTCCTCCCGCACGTCTCCTCAGTCCATTTCCCAGGGAAATGTCTCTCCCACACCAGCTCCACCTACACCTTCACGACCTGCAGGATTCTCCATCCGTCTGATCAGCTGACCTCGGTGTCCCCCAGGTAACATAACACCTAAACATTCATCAACGTGCACTTTTTTTTTTTCTTTTTTTTTTTCTGTTTTGGATTCCCTTAATTCCTTTAATTCCTTTAATATTCACTTCACATCGCTATTAATTTATACAAACATACAGGCGCTAATTAAATGGAGCTGGACGCTTCTCTTTCTTTTTTTTTTTTTTTTTTTCTTTTTTTTCTTCAAAACACATTTAGGAGTCACAGGAGGTCACTCAAGTGTTTGTGTCCCTGCTGTGTGATTGGCTTGACAGGTCATGTGACGAGGAAGACGAGCCGGAGCTGTATCAAATAGCTCTTCTGGCAGAATTAGAGCAGACCCATTGAAAGCACCGTTCAGTGTGCAGATGGGTGAGGACGTGCATGGTTGTGCATATCTAAAGATCTTGTGTGGGTGTGTTTTGAACCTAAGTAACATCAGGGTTTGCTTCTAAATGTGTTCTTTAATCCAGTTTGCACACGCTTCTTTTTGAGGTGGACACCGATCCTAATGAAATAATAATTATGAAAGCAGTGTTCAGGCCTGTTAAAAGCTTTTAGGACGAAATGATTACAGTGACTAAATCTACCCGTCTTACATATTGTCTGGGTCCAAAAGGTTCAAATCTGGTCTGAGAAACCGTTTGTCTCTCCCGCTGTCTTTCCACTGAATGTTTTTAAATTGACTTTTGTAACAAGGTACTTGACTAGTGAAGTTTGGAAATTCCCGAAAAGCAGTGCCAGAACACAGTCAAAGACACCTCAAAATACCCACTGTCTTAGTCATGCATTTTCTGGATGATATGCTTGAAATCTGGTGATTACAGAGTCTGAACAAAGCTCGACACAATCGCTACGCTACTGTCAAGGTTTCTAGTACAGAAAAAATTAGTGGGTTTGCATGTAAATTACTCTAAACCTACTTTGTTTACATTAAAATCAATCATGCATGTTTTGACACGTTGATGCAATTTTAACTAAAAGCTGTCAGACATTTTATATTCTGTAACATAAAGTTTTTGTGGAGCGTCATTTTGTTGGTAGATTCGTAAACCACATGACTTTATGAGTAGTAGAAGTTAATCTGTTGCTTTTTGATACATTTTTGCTGCTTGACCAGTCTTGATATGTCAAGTGACACAATACTGTATACATTGGATAATAATCTAATATGAATATCTAAACTGCTAGGAAGGACAGAAAATGAGTAAGTCTAGAGGAGGAGAGATGTGGTGTAAACATGGAGGCTGTAGGAACTGGATGAGCCACTGTGTTGAGCCCCAAAGGGGAGAGACACTGTCTGTGGTTTTGTGCAGGTCAGAGACATTGAAGTTTGTTTGTTTTGTTTATTTTCCAACCTTTACCAGCCTTACAGGCTTTATTTTTGAAGAAGGTCGGTAGTAGAGATGCCCCGATCAAAAGGTTTTGATCAATTTGTGCCCCACAGATTTTCTTAGGCTTTGACTTGTTGTTGTCACTCTTCACCATTTTGTTTTTCTCTACTCTATCATAAGAAGGTAGAAGAACCATATTGAAAAATGTTTCTGCCACAATGTGCTATAGATGATAGCAGAGGCCACATCATGACACCTGCACAAGAACAGCGTCTTTTACATTCTTATAATAGAAATATAAGGACTGAGACTCTTCTTAACAAGAGTGGTTATAGGTTTAGCTTGGATTGCATTATATAAGCGACTTCTCAAAGTTTAATCCATGCTTGGTCTCCTGAAAATTTCTGCATAATTTCCACTAATATTCATTGTAGGATTTGCAGAAAAGCCTTTCAGCAGAAGAAAAATTCACAGTGCTCTCTGTTCCTCGGTTGTTAAGCAGATGTACTATGGTGATTATTGGTGAATCAAGTTCATCTGTTTCTGAACTCAAGCATTTTTCACCTAATCACTGTCATTTCTGCCTTCTTTTCTACTTTGCCCTCCTCTTTATGTCTCCAGCTCTGCAGTAGCGTTTTGTCAAAGCAGCTCTGCCATCGGCACGCCGACCCACACTTCCTCTCCCGTACCCTTCTCCGCCCCACACACGCCCTCCTACACCCCCTGCTGCACCCCGCGCCGCCTCTCCCTTTCGCGCTCTCTCGGCGAGTCCTCCACCAACTTGAGAGACTCCACCAAGACCACCAACACCTCTCTAGGCCTTGTGCGCCTCCTGCTGGAGCATGACATTTCTGCCTCGGTGTACGATCCTCGCAGCTGGGATCCAGGGCTGGGTGCCAGCGGCGCTTCAACGCCCACAGGAAGAGTGCAGGTGCAGAGCAGAGCAGCCAAGTCAGGAGAGAATGAAGTCAGACAGCTGGTGAGGCGACCGGACACACTCCTCCTTCAGCCCTGCTCCCCTCCGAACTCCCCGCCCCAGGAATCTGCTTCAGCCGCCACGGCGCAGCCTGCGTTTCAGATTAGCCCTTCGAAGGAGGATCCGCCGTATTATGATGCCTTCCTCGCCTCCAAACCGGCTCGCATCATTCTGAGGGAAGTGCTGATGGATCTAGAGAGAGAGTACAACGGCGAGGTGGATGAAGACGGCCAGAACGAGGTGGCGAACCTCGGACTGGTGGACAAACTGAAACGCTTCCGAACGCTCTCCCCTGTTTCCACCTCGGTTTCCTCCGGGAGCGGTCTGCTGGCTCCCTTCAGCTCCAGCGGACTGGGTGGGGGGCTCCCGGGTTTAAATGCAGGAATGCGGAGGAACCGAAGCTATCCTGCCATGGTGGGGGCCAGCATGGCAATGAAAGACCCCGGTGGGCCGCCCGGTGCTCTCATCCCACAGACGGCGCAAACAGACGAAACGGGCAAAGTGCAAACACATCCCTCTGTCGTCAGGAAAGCCATTCACATACCGCAGACTTTACACGCACTGGAACCAGTCACACCACAGACGATAATACAGAGACACGCCCGGCCAGACTGGGATTCAGACAACTCAGTAACACAAGGCCAACACAGTGAGGGTCAAACCAGGACATGGTAGGAAAAACTCAGTACGTTAGGCCAAAATCACAGCATTTCAATACACTTTTCACGTTATTATTCCACATGTACAAATACAACGCCAAAAAATATATTAACGCACACTTTGTCTGCAATAGCAGACCGGTACAATCCGCCCTCATTTCCCCTTACAGCCGTTAATCTGTGAACCTGAACAAAATGTCGGAGTGACGACTGAGAGCAGAAGTGGCTGAAACTGTTACACTGTTATATTTAAATACTGTCTGGCCAGATTAACGACGGAGTATGCTGCCTTCCTTTGTGTCATTATTGTACAACGTACTATATATGCAATATTCTGTGGCATATAGTATATTATTAAAGCCCCAGTCTGGAGTACTTTACAATGTGGCTGAATTCATGTGCTATGTATAGAGATGCACCGGTTTCTGTGGCCAGTTTCCAGGCTTCAGCTCCAGTCCTCAAGAGCCTACGTCCTTGAACTGGTCCAACATACTTGAATCAAACCAATAGCTCATTACCTCTGCCCAGCTGACCAGATCGAGGCCTTTAGATGAACTCTGAGACTGACAACGTCTCTAATTTCAACAGGCGTCGTAGCAGTCAGAAGATGAATGCTAAAATGGATTTTTTTTTTAAAAAGAGAGAAATTTTGCTAAATTTCCTTCAGCCTCTTTGTGTCATAAAATATAGATTCCATTTAAATAGCTTCTTACATCTTTGTACTTCCTCCGGTTTCATTTTTTAACACATAAGCTGATGCCGAAGCCAGCTAACTTTGATTCCTCTTCTCACGTCGTTGCCAGCACGACACGGTCATGTTTGCGCTGGTTGTGTTTGTTAATCGGAGGAATGATTGGACCGTCACATTTCCGACCAGTCGATAAATATCATCAAATGTTTACCTTCAAAAATGTTCATTGTTTCATGAAGCAATTTAGGCATTTTTACAAGATCCTAACTGCTTGTTTTTCTATTTTTCTGTGCTGAAGCAGTTTTTGTCTTTTCCTCCTTTCCTTTCTTTTGTTGTTTAGAAAAAAATCCAGATTGGGGCTTTAAGATATCTTGTTGCTGTGACTGAATGTTCTTATGTGCCTAAAAACAAACACACTGTATTTCATTAGAAAACTGATTGCATTTGTTAGTTTGTAAATGGTTTTTGTTTTGTTGTGTGCAATAGACATAACTTTATTTGTGCAATTCAAAGGGTGCGTGAGATTCTGTGCATTCTTCTCATTTCAGATGTATATTTTTATTTGATTTTATTGCTTTAAGCCCTCAAAAATTTTTGGATTCTTCGGGAATATAGTAAAGCTGTTGTTAAAACTGAAGGCGTCCCAGAAGAATTTCCTTTTCCCCCCTCTTATCCATTTTGCTTGATCTGTCCATATGAATCCAGGCATTAAAGGATAACATTTATGAATGTAGGTGTTTTTTATTTTTTTCAATACTGTCCACCTTGTATCTCTCAGCATGTACATAACTTACTCAGTTTGGGTCAAACCACAGAAAGCAGTGTAACACCTGGACGAGGGGCGACTGATACTCACGTTTGTAAAATGAGTCTGTAAACTAAATTGTGATCCCAACACGCAGCGTTTCAGACTTTTACACATTTAGGTTGTTGTTTTCATTGGGTGTTTCAATGCGTAATCTGGGTTTGGACTTTGCACCTGGACCAAGAAGTTGTAGTTTGAACGAATGGGAAGTTTATCTGTTTTGCTTCATAAGTCACGCAAGTGATCATTGCACATTTTTAAAGTGAAGGATGTTTCAGGTTGTTTATTTCAGTGTCATGTGGAATCACCTTTACTGAACGGATTCAATCCTCCAGATTTCAGTAGCTGTTTGAATACTTTTTCTTGCCAGCATTGATTGTTCACTGTCTACAAGCCCATTTCTGCCGTTAGCAGCAGCACATTTGAAGAAAAATAAAAGAACTCAGTATTTCAGAGGAGAAAAATGGAGCAGTAATGTTGGTACGACAGCGAGTGTCTTAATGTAATTTTTGTGCCACGTCATCCGAATGTAAGTTATTATTCAACTTTTAGGGCCATTGTACAGATTTCTGTCTGATTTAATCATTTCATTGTAACTGTATGCAACACAAACATGTATAATTTTGAAATATAAATATATATATAGTATGGTTAAAGAAACGTTATAAAGGTGAGTAGTTTATGTAGGATTATAGGGGAATATGTTCTAGTCAGAGACTGGTGGGCTCTATTTTATAAAACATGTCCAACTGTCAATAAAATATGAAATAAAGATTTAATGGTTGTCTTTATACTTTGACTTTATTCTGTACATCCAATTATGTTCTTCTCCTCTCAGCTATAAAGGGGTAGCATTATGTTGTTTCTAATTATATTTTTAGCACGTAACTGTGTTAACTAAGCATAACTAACATAGTAGCTATGTTAGTTTACTGCGTTAACTAGTAAATAGTAACTAGAAATTTAAAGCTTTAAAATTGGGCCTGTGCCTCTTTGAAGCCTCCTGCTTTTTCTGAGACTCCGCCTTCATAACAGCGTTCCTCTGTCAACCATTTAACAATGTTTTACCAGCACTGCACTGAGTTGAAGCTTGTATAATGAGCTCAGAAAATGTGCAGTTCCACCAGGCATTTGCTAATTATGCCTGGCTAGTCTGAAGGAGCTGAGCAGGCAGGCCTGCTCTGTGAGGCGAAAGCACGAAGGTTTTGGAAAATTTAGCTCCGAAGATGAGCTGCGTCTCGAAGGCGGGGCGAGGTCCATCCAGGTGTTTTACAAAGCTGAGTGGTTGCCATGGGAGACTAAAGTATTTATCAAATATGCATAAAATAATCAAAGCAACACTCCGGGCATATTTCTTATGACATTATAAAATGACTTTTTCTAATAAAATCTGAAAAAGTTGATTTTATATAATTCTTTAAGGGGCTGCGGTTGTACATATTTCTATAGATTATACTCTTATTTCAACGTAAAAACTTGGAAGTAAAATTTAAATCATAGTATTAAATAAAAAACATTTCAGACAACTACAGTACCTTAAATTCACATGTGGCTCTCAACAGTGATTTCAGGTCTCTAGAAATTATTGCAGAGGCCTGCTACATTCATAAATATATAAATATGAAGAAAGTTTCAAGGTAGCTGTTACCTTTTTTCATAATTGTAAAAGTGATTTTTGCTAAATGCTTTCTTGTTATATCTGTTGTACCGACAGCTGTTTTCCACAGGGGGGCACTGTGTCCAAAGCATGCAATGCAACGCCTGGAAGCGGAAGTAGAGATAATGTAATATACTCTTAATGTACTGTATAGGTTTTTGCAAACACATTTAAAATAAATTAAATAAATATACATCATGAATAATACTTATTTCATTCTTGAAAAATCATAATAGAGATTAGAGAAGAAGAAGGGATAAGCGTTCAATGGAAAGCTTGACTACTCTCTTCCTCTGAATGATGGAGACATGATCCAGACAGATGGGTAAGCAGGGCAGAATGATTTGAAATTAGCTTTCGGTGCTTGGAGGAAAACGGGCAGGTGTGGGGAAAATGAGAACATTCTGCAGAGCTGAGTCAGATGGAAAACAAGACTTTTTTTTCCCCCCCATCTCTTCTTTCTGAGATGGCTGCATTAAAACCCAATGTACATGTAAACAAATTAATAAGAAACCCAGAAAGTCCAGAAATCATAGAGAAAACATCTAAGGTACTTTTGTGTTATCTGCTTAAATTCTGTGCAGGCAGGATTTCCGTGGCCCCCGTCAGCTGGTGTGAATGCGTAGAGGCCAGGACTCTTTGGCACAGAGCAATTACCAGCTGCTTGGAAAAGAAGGTCACTTCAGAGACGGGATGTGTGATTATAGTCTCGGAGGGTGACCAGCTGCATCCCTCTGCGGTCAGCCCTTCGCATAAAGAAGATTGTTAGCACTTGAAGAATTGACCTGAGGGCTGCCAGAAAACTAAGGCACAGCTTTGAACATCTGTTTAGGTGCTGGATGATTTACTGGGTTACTTGGTCAGTTTCTGTCATTTACACTCTCTGTTGAAATCATAGTAACCAATAAAACTTGCATTTTATTAAAAAAAATAATAATAATCATGGCAGACTAAGCCTTGCATATGTGTGATATCTGCTTGCTGTTTTAAAGTTTCTCGCATTCAAAATTAGAGCTACAATCCTGGAAAAAAAAAAACTTTTGAGACAAGAAAGAAAAATAAGGATCTATACAGTTGGATTCCATTTGATTCTCATCTCAAAAATATGTCAACATACATACAAGAAAACGCATGCATTATTTTTTTTCAAACATAAACTTAGGTTTTTATTAAATGAAAATGTTTTCATTGTGAAATGCAGCTACTCTGAATGTCTAAATTATGTTTTTGGTTGTGCTTAATTTAATCTGAGTATAAATCCAGCTTCAGTGAAGGTCTCAGAGGTTTACTTTGTTAGTGAAAATTAACAACAGCATCATGGAGACCAAGAAACCCAGCGGACAGAAAGTTGTATGAAGTTCAAATCAGATTTGAACACATCGTCACCACTGTGAAGCATGGTGGTGGCAGCGTCATGCCGTGGCACGTGTTTTTGTCCAGCAATTTGATTTATTTTAGCGTTTTAAAACGGATCTTCAAAGAAAGATCCCGACAGAGTCCGAATCAGGCAAACAGGGAAGATCCTGGTTTATGAAACCCTTTATGTTTGCAATCCAGCAAAAAGATTTGAACCTTAAACTATGTCCATTCTCAGAGGCAGCTGTGAGACCTAAAAACTAACTTTGCAACGTCTGTGGTTATTGTTGTGTTGGAATTACATTTTCAGGCCCAATTGCCAACTCTTCTGAGTTTTGTTTGCCTTAAATTGCCCTCCAGGCCCCCCATCCGCAACATGAGTTGACCATTTTATTTGGAGTTTTCTTTTAAAAGCAATGTCTTTTGAATAATGTATGTAGGGCTCAGCCGTTTAGAAAAGTGGAAAAGATAAAAAGCTGCAAAAGATAAAAAAAAACAAATGGGTTTGATATTTTCCAGCTTTAAGAGTTTTAAAATGCATTCACTCAAGTGCTGCCAGGAGTGAAAACAACTCATACAGACGCACATTTTATGATTTCATAACTCAAAAGCTACTGAACAGAGATGGATTCAGTTTGATAAAAAGCAACTTTTGTGAGCATTTGTAATATTTTAAAATGTAGTTTCCATTTAACACTGAATGAAAATGTTTTAAAAATGAAACAATACTAGTAATAGTAGCAGCAAAATAACCCCTATTGAATTCTTTGGAAATGTGTTTTATAGGCTGATTTGATTTGTGAATAAGTGCTGAACTATAAAATCTACAGAAAACACAGAAACGGCAGCAGAGAGTTAGTGACAAAGGTTATAAAGTACCATCACTTTTTGATTTTGAATTTAAATTATTTAAAGCTTTATTGGTCACAAGTGGCTTTTGCCAGGAACTCTGAACTTTATATGAAACTGAAAGGAGGGCAGCCTTGCTCTCTCTCACTCTCTCTCAGGATAGTTGTGCTTCTTCCGACTTCAGTTTTGAACTTCTTTCCTTCTGAAAACAGCCAACAATCAGTCAAGACTGTCAGCAAAACGTGGCAGCAATTCACTTTTTTGTAAAA